GCGTGTATTTAATTGTGTATTTCCCACACAGTCAACTTGACTGGCATATTCAAGGTGCCGGTGTGCCGGTTCAAGAGGGACCTGATCACTGTCATTGCAAACAGTGGCCAGTTCACGGTCACCAGGAACATTGGCTACCAGGTGAAGAATCTCAGCCCTGCCACAAACTACACGTAAGCCACAATAATCATTATACCGAAGACACCATACCGACAGTCTGCACGTTTCTGTTGAGCTCTTGAATGCTGTCAGGTACCAGGATAATAACCATGATAACAACAAAAACGTGTCTATACGCTGTTTGAAATACACAGTTGGGGTGTCACCACATGACTTATAACTAGTTTCTTTGCGGCGACACGAGTACTGTATCTCTTCATTGGGTAGGAAACTCAGACCTTGCTAATATACCAGATGTAAAATCAAAATGAAACCACTTGGTATTGCAGGATAAAGCACCTACATGCTGCTCACGTTGTCTTTTCACTCAGGTTCCAATATTTTGTTGGAAGTGAGAAGAGCAACGCTGTACAAGCTGCCACCAGGACAGGTGACTATTTTCTTATGGCTCAGGTTTTCATGTGTCTGTTGATGTGTTGGTTTTCACACACCTGAGAGAAGCAAAGCAGGACAGTCCTTCTCTGTGGCTGTGGAAGAATCTCAGAAGTCAGAATTCTGGAGCATTTTCCGAAGGGGCTGCCTTGCATTAACACAATGGAACATGCTCCTCCAGTTTATGTTTTATCATTATATCTCACTGTAGTCCTTGAGGGCCAGAATACTGCAGGTTTTCCTTTGCAATTTGCAACTTCTTCAGACCAAAAAAAAGAGAGAAAGTGATCCGACTTCTTAGCACATGAATAACTCAGTGAGGTGATTAAGACCAGGGGTGTGATGATGACTTAATGACCCTGTGGGGACTTTGCTGTCCCTGCCACCACTCTGAAGAACGCTGGGGTGTGATACCGTTTCCTCTGCCTCTGCTTCCCTACAGTCTCGAATTACCAGGACATCGACGACGGGCTGCCGGCGCGCAGTGGGGCCATGGTTGTCATCACGGTCCTGCTGTCCGTGGCCATGTTCATTCTGATAGTCGGACTGATAGTCACCCTCGTGCTGGCACACTGTAGGAACTGAGACAACAACCGGCAAAGCAGAACCACTGGACCGGCTCTGGACCGGCTGCTTCGTGTGCAGACAGTTCTTCTGTTCTTTTGACCAGCGATACTCTTCTGCTCTTGTTTTCTGGGGGTCTAAATATTTCTAAATGTGTAACTTTCCTAACGATGATATTGCCTTTGTTAATATTAATTAAGATCCACCGTTTGGCCTTGTGTGAACAGTGCAGGAAAGGCTGCTGGGGAGATAAACGTCAGTGGAGCTCTGGCACAAAAAACTAACCACCTGGAACCTTTTAAAAGCTGACATTTCAGTTTTCAGCCACTCGCTCATATCCCATCTTCCCAACTAGACTGGGTTTACAGCGCTGTGAACGACATTGTCATGTGTTTATAGGCGTGTTGTTTAATAACCCGGCATATATAGTGGACTATGATTTGTGAGCATAATATAATCACGTTTTATGTAAGAACTCATTTTCATTTCAAGATTGCTTCACAAAGCCTTGCTACCACAAGGCTTAGTAAAAGGATTTGAATGAAATGTATTTTAAGTCTTCACTTGAGTTTACTCTCTGCGGTGCAGTTTTACATGGGGTGCATATTTTTTTCATTGCACGCTTTGCGAACTGGGACGCAGGCCGATGCATCCACATAGATTACATAGTTTGGTCGAAATTCCATTTTAAGGAGGGTCTTTGATAATCAATATTCCATGGGCAGACTGTATTTTAGGTCTGATAGCCACTTCATGTTTGTAGTTTTAATCTGTTGCAGGTTGTATTGGTCAAAGTCCATTGTAGAATTTTTATTGTTTTTTACATTGTGTTTTATATATTCAGGTCTTTCTGCAGAATGCTTTTTGGCGTGTTGACTGAGCTCTGTGGATTTTTTCAAGACATAAAATTACTATTTCAAGATTTATTTTGGTCCATAGTGTGGATCTTTGCATACCATTAGGTGTTGGATTTTGCTATTTATTACCAGCTAACTTGTGAACTAGTTGGATTGGCATGCACTTCTGTTACTCTTCAACATGGGTATTCAGGAGAAAGTCAGAACAGCCCTTGGCCTTAAGATGTTAAATGGTGTTGTATGTACCAAAGGACATTCATTGTGTTATATTTCCTGTGAATGCAATCAAAATTATCTTACAAATAAAGGTAGAAATAAAACTAAAATTATATTTCATTGAATTGTTTCATTTTTTTAAGAGACTGGAGAGATTCTGAATACTGTTCAGACATTGATAAGCCACAGATGTCACAACTGAAAAGCAGCGTATACTCAGATTTACAAGCACAAGGTGTTTAAAGAAAGTAAATGGTGTTTTAATTAATGTATTGGCCAAAACACAACGTATCAACAGGTGCCTTGGCTCCTAAACGTTGTTAATAATCATAATAATAATAATCATAATAATAATAATAATAGCACTCAGTGGGTTCAATTCCTTCCATATTATCAATATAAATCATAAAAATCGCATAAGGGAATCCGGTTACTCTATTAAATTCAATCTCTATCAGTGAAGTTAGCCTTTAAAAACGCTGACAAGTCGGTATCCACTCTGAAGAGTCGTGCTTACTTCCGCTGGGGGGAATAGTACATTAAGACGCACACTGGAAATTAATGGTAAATTAATCACATTAAATAATTAATCAACGCATATTGCGTTGTGACGTCGTATTGAATCCTCCATCAAAAAATTAAAAAAAATGAGTGAAGATAAAAAAGTTGTAATTCCTGAGTCATGTGCAATTAAAATATA